CAATGTGTATCTTAAAGGATCAATCTGAACTGTGGCCCAACGTGACATTGAGGCATGCCTCCCTGCGGTTCATTTTTGATTTCTTGGAATATATCCAGGACGAATCAAGAGTTTTATGGGCTGAAGTTTTAGATTCCTGCGCGAGGATAGTTCCTTCTGCTTCAAACTTATACCGACGTATCTTCTACTGATCCGTTATGTCTTTGTGCCCTGTGCGCGCCTAGTGGAATGCCTTGCTTAACGTTAAATTTGCCAATTAGATGTTTTGAGAGGGCAACGGGTGGTTTACCTTTCTCGCCAACACATTTCTCTCAGTAAGCTTTGCAAGTGTTGTTTTCAAAAAGAAGCTCTTTCTTATGCGGTTGAAATTAGGTGTTGAAATATAACTATTATAATGCTGAGATATTTACAAAACTCCGGACAGCAGGTGTCTGCAGTGGGGAACGAACGCGTTATTGTCCTTTCCGAGGAGTAACACGTTCACCACCACACCATGCGGGTCCTTCGTTTCGTCTCTCAGCTAGTTCTGTCGATCTTTTGCCATCATCAATCACCCGTTAACGGGATTGATCTTGGGAGCCCAAGTCGGCACTGAACCCAGTTAAGCTGAGGCTATAGTTATAATCGCAATCTTAACCTTTTTATTTACTGCATCTTCTTTTTAAAGGCAAGATATTTTGCGAAATATAACTATTATAATACTATATTTCGCAAAATACCCTGCGGTTAAAAAGGATACGCAGTAAATGAAAAGGTTGAGATTAGATGTTGAGTTCTTTCTAAGCGAGGTTACGGAAGTGTTTAACTGGCTAGGTTGCAGTTAATTTTGTGTGCTCAGGCCCTGAAGAAGGCAAAATCCGCGGGAAACTTCAGTTTTTTGTGAATAAAGAGTAAAGTAACAACGCCACGTCTATTCGTCAACCAAGCACCGAGTTATTGGACAGTGCCGACAAATCAAAGAAATGAGAGCGAAAAAAGCAGTGGAAAGTCGATCTTAAGAAATAGTGTTTGTGGTCAGTCCTACAAAGTAAAACTTGTGTTACTCTCCAGAATAGCATCAATTCGCTTTTGAGTTAAGGCCTTGCATAGGTATCAATGACACTTAATTGTTGTTTACCGTTACACAAAAAGAATGCCCGTTAAAAAATATGTTGACTGTCTCGTTTGTCGGCGAAATACGGTACCCTCCGCATGTTTTCAGTTAATTACGAGCGAGCTGTTATATTAAAATTCAACGCAGCCAAACATTCGCTTGTTAAGGGCAAGCGGAGGAAGGACGTCTGTCTTCCAGTGAGCATTCTACAAGTTGTACCAAAAAAACTTCTTAGCTACTAGTTTTTTCACATATTTTGACATGATGCCTTCTTGGATAATTAGATATGTAAAAATGGAATCTTAGTTTAATAACCAATAATTTACAATATACAATTTTAAACATTGTTTTAACGTTTTTTTCATTTTATATGACCTGTATTCACGTCTGCTGTGCGGATCCCAGCACTTCTCACATTCGATGCGTTTCCACTTTCCATGAAGATCTTCTAACTTTTACGTGTGGCTTCGGTTGCTGCTTGAGGATTTTCATTTCATCTTGAGTGTCGTAGAATGCTGGTCGAGCAATTCTCCCTGGAGCCTTCAGATAGCCGGGCTGAGAGCGTTCCCAACTGGATTATAGAGAGTGATTTTTTCCCAGACAAGTCCGGCACCAGTTTCCAGACCCCGGAAGGATAAGAGGTTTGGTTGGCCAAGAGCGGAATCGAACTAGCACCATGCTTGTGATGATGGATAACACCACCAATGTGCTATTCACCCCTTATTTTAGCATTTTAATAAGTAAAAAATATTTCGACTTAAATTGCGTTGTTTTGGTTTTTCAGAACGAATAGTCGCTTAACCCGTTTTGCGCTAAAGCGCATAAGTGTATTGGGCTTAGTGCGCGCCTTGAATAATAGATCATCTTGAATCTGCTTTAATGCTTAGAGGCAATGGTATTGCAAAAAAATGCTCACAATGAAAAAAGACCAGTGAAGTGAAGTTTATGTTGGTTTCTCCAATACCCCTCCCACCCTCAGAATGGGAAAAACCTATTCGGACTCTCTCTTGAGACTCATTAACATCCTGAAAATTAGTCCCTAAACTCACTGCTTTCATGTTTTCTATAAAAGTCAGCAAGCTTTATTGGTGAAATAGTTATGAAAGATTTCCTGTTTTTCTTGATCAATTCCGTGGTTAAAAGCAAATGGGTGCTGGGATTTGCTACATGAAGGATTGGTTGATTATGGTTGGATAAATTCTAACAAAAAAGCATATTGATGTGGCAGTCTTCCCAAACTTCTTCACTATACTTCTTGACGACATTCTCTGTAAACGCTTGTATACGCTCTAAATTTCCCTCTCCTGAACTCATTGTGAGACGTACTCTATATACCGTTTCAATTTTTTTATATGACTTTCTATGCTTACGCTGTATCAAATGTGCACTAGGGAATTTATTTTTTTCACATAGTCTGCTTCATATTCCCATTCCATTGAAAGATGTCCATCTCTCGACAGATCGCACAAATTGCGAAGTGGTTCCAGTTTTCAGCCCGTAACCGAGCGAAAGTTAAACCATTGCGGAAATCGATGCCATATTTGAGCAAATCCTTTTTGCAAGGTAGTAAACAACCTTTCTCTCCCATTCATCTTTCTTAATCGATAAAACATTAGTCAACTAGAAATTATACAGCTAGGGAGAGGTGGGTGAGTTCAAGAGTTTTCGCGAAGACAGAAATTAAGTGCATATATGGATTCTCTGAGCTTGGTGCTGTTGTCAGTGTAGAACTCCTATGTTCCGACAAGATAATCGCACATGCGTTCACTGATGAAGGAAATAACACGTATTCACACATATATCTCTCTGCTCTTTGCAGGCCAAAATATGGCTGTTTTCAAGAAATTGAAAAAATCTAAGGACAAAGATTTGCCACTACCAGAACCTGAACCAGTAAAACAACTCGACAAGCGGGTAGGACTGGAAAATTATAGGTAAGCATGATAGTTCTCGCTTTTTTTTAAATTTTATTTTATACGACCCGTCTTCACGTCTGCTGTGCAGATCCCAACACTTCTCACATTCGATTCGTTTCCTTGTGTACATCATCTGCGTAGGTCTTCGAACTTTACACGTGTGGGTTCGGCTGCTGCACGAGAATTTTGATACCATATGCCAGAGAATGCTGGTCGAGTCGAATTTCCCTGCAATCCAGAGATAACCGAACTGGCGCGTTCCCAATCGGATTGTAGAGAACGATTTCTTTCCTAGACAAATCCTGCACCAATTTCCCGACACCGGAGAGATAAGAGGCCTGGTGGGCCTAGGTGGACTCGAACCAGCACCGTTTTCGGCATCACTACCACTGTGTTGTCTGTCCTCGTTCTCCCCTTATAAATGGAAAGATGGGAAATCCTCTCAAGCACCAACAATCCTGTAAAAATCCGCGTCAGTGGCGACGCATACGCGTTGCTAGCCGATTGTAAATGGTGGCTATAAGAATGTTGACGATTTTCATTAAAATTCCATAAACCAACAACAGTTGTCTACTAAGAGCGACCATTGTTAGGAGAGAATTGGTCGCTAATACGACTTCTGTTTTGTGACCAAATAACTCGATCTGGGTAGATCTTTTTTGCAGGGAGTTTTTCACGCTTAAAAACTACTGGAAAGCGATCGACCGCAAAAAACAGGATTCAGCTCAACTATTGCTGAGCAGGTACCCTAGTGTTACTACAAACTCAGCAAAATATGTTATCAGTTTTTATTGTGACTTATTTTCGACATCCTCTCCTAATTATTTCACTTTACTAAAACTTAGAAGAAATAATCGTGCTATGTTACGAAAACACATGCTAACTGACTTTCTTGGGTGCTGATTCGATTGAATTGAATCGAATCGACTGATTGGAAAATGTTAGTGTGAGCAAGAAAACGCTAATGAATTTCGGGAACAAAGCTGCATGTTTGTTACGTAGTGGATCTAAAATATTGATTAAATAATGTTGACCAATAATTGGCACGTGTAGCGCAATGCTAAACGACGCTTTGCGGTACACATTGGTTCGACCCAGCGCCATAGACTAACCAAGGCACTCTTTCCTTCATGGTCAACATATTGGTACCAGATTACAAGAAAACGCACTTTTTGTATTTTTTTTGTTTTACTTTTAGTTCGTTTGAATGTCAGAAAGTGGCGAGTAAGTCCATTAGTGTAAGCATATGATTCAGATGAATCGGTGAGTGTTCCGAAGTCAACAGAATTCCTAAGACCGACATTCCAGTAACCTCGGCATTGATTGATACTTCACTGCTTTTTGTTAGGCAAAAACGAGATTGATATTATAATTATGGAATTTGTTAGCATGCAACAGCTGACGTTTCGGCGGGTTCGCCTTCTTCAAAGCCTGGAAAGGTCACAGTGACATGCAATCTGCTCAGCCAAACACTTCCATAACGCATGCAGATAAAATTTAGCACATAATTTTGCATTCACATAACAAGCAGTTTAAACATAATAAAAGCCTTTTATTACGTGAATGCAAATTTATCTGTTAACTCTTATCTGCTAAGGTTATGAAAGTGCTTGGCCGAGCAGATCGCATGTCAACTTGACCTTTCCAGGCTCTGAGAAAGGCGAAACCGCCGGAACGTCAGCTGTTGTATGCTAACCAATTCTGTAATACCAACCTCGTGTTTATTTGTCGAAGAAAAACATTGAAGTATCAATAGAATTCGTCATGAAGACGAACCACTCAATATCCTTCCAAGTTTGGAACGGAATGGTCACACCGCTATTCTTGAGTAGTTCAGAATTTGGTTTCATATAGTTGAAAGACGTTTACTGATACAATATACAATCAAAGCTTACGATTTCGTTGTTCGAGTAGCAGCCACAAATAGCAGCTTGGTATTGAACGTAGTTTTCTAGTATAATAGTATCACTTGTTCATACTTCTTTATCAAGATTCCGCAACGTCTCTTTACCGCATTCCAGGTACTTGAATTTGAACCCAGAGAACAAGAAACTCTATACGAAACTGAAGAATATTGAAGCTTCTAGTGTAGATAGGACGTGTAGTGATCCCGGTTTCGAAGCCGTAGCAGCTGCATATCTAAAGGTTTGCATACGAATTTTGCGAGGATTTTGGAGTCATGCATTTTTTTCCACAAAAACTTAAGTATTGATTCCTTTCTACATAATAAGACCAACAAAATCTGTTTAGACAGTATTCAAGTTAACTTTGACTAACATTTCGGTCGCCTTCCCCCTCTTCAGAGTCTGAAATCTACATAATGGCCTACATCTTCGAGTGATAAGGAGACGATTTTGCTATTATCTTGGTCAATAACCTATGAACTTGACCTTTACGGCTACTAGTTTATGTTACGTAGTGGATAAACCACGACACTATTAGCGCGGTAAAAGGGTAATAGCGCGTTCTTTCCCTCACCGCAGACACCTGCGGTCCGGAGTTTTGCAAATATTTCAGCATCATTGTGGTTGTTTCACACTACAGTATTGTTTGGTTACACATCTGCTGAAGAATCGATTTTTACACATCTGAAAATCGGTGTAGGACTCACTGTTATGTGGACGTTTGCTTCCCACTGTATTTTTTAGCAGTGATTTCACCATTTCACAAGAACTATTAGCATATATGTATTTACTATCGTTATCAGTTTAATTCAAGGTGTTCGACGACGTGATAACGACAGTAGAGGAAAAGCCGTCAGACGTGCAACCTGCTTGCGATCGACTAGCCGCTATCGGAAGAATGCACCGGGCAAAGGTTAGAATACGATTGTTCCCTTTGTTCAGTTATGATCTACGCCTATCCTAATCACTTCGTTGCTTTTCATCTTCGTTTTCCTCCATATCAATTACGATCCTTTCATTGGAGACACCACGAAGTGAAAATCATTCTTGTCTCTGATCTCTTGGGAGAAACCTTGTTGTCTATTCGAAGAGATTTAAGATATGCGGACAGCTTCTGCGGACCGGAAGCGTTATCTTTCATAATGGTTTCATTTTTCAAATGACTGAAAAGATAGAATGTCTTGAAGGTTATCCCTCAGTGGTAAAACTTTTCTCTGGAAGATGTTTGGCAGGAAAAGCATAATGTTTCATAAAATCTGCTAATATGCGATTTAGGCTTCAAATATACCAAATAACGCGTTCGAAGAAATGGAGGAACCGTTTGTTCACATGGTGAAAGATATCTTACAAGATCGTTTCAACGATAAAGCCGAAATCCTATTTCGAAAGTTTTTCCAATTTTGCTTAAAATATTTGTTAGAAGGTTTAAACAGTTAGGTGCTCATTTCTGCTATAACTTTGTTCGTTCATTATTATTTGTCTCCATGTTTCACTAAACGTCATCGATCACTCTTGCGGGAGATGCTCAAGTTCTTTCTAGTCATTTCTGTAGTTTTCTAACTTTTTTCTATAATTTAAATAATCTGTTTTTTCCGTTGTATACATCCTTAAATCGATCATTTTGTACAAATACAATTAAGAATATACTGTTTTCTTTTTGCATGCGGTAATCGACAAAGACACGTAGAAACTATACGTATCGATTTTTTGAGTGCCATGTGGCTGACACATATTGGTTCTTACGGTCCCACTTTCCCTCATAGAACTCTTAAAGACTCACAGCCACGTAACGTGACTGGGCTATTAATCCCACAGTGAGAACCATGAAAGCTAAGCGACTACCGTAAATAATAAGTGATCACTTCTTGCGATCGCTAACTTGCATTTGAGATCTTCCTATCGAACGTTAGCTAAGTTAAGCGGTGTCCTTTTTAAATTCATGTGCCATTTATTTTTTAAAGTTTGTCTGTCTCTGTTTTGATAAAGAACTATGATCTCATAATGCAAGGCTGATAGAAATAATCGAGATATAACCACGATGACGTTTAGATATTTGTAAAACTACGGAAAGCTGATGTCTACGATGAGGACCGAACACATTATTAACCTTTCCGGGGCTAACGCGTTCATCCTCACACCATGCGAGCTCTTCGTTTAACTTTTCTCAGCGATGTTATTGACCCATAGGTGCTATCAGCAGTCACCCGTCAACGGAATTGATCTGGGGAGTGTAAACCCACTTAGGCTGAGGCTTTGGTATAAATCACAATCTCGTCACTTTTTATTGACTGCCCACTTTTTTTTTGATGGCAGGGTATTATGTTAAATATAACCATAATGATGCTTAGATATTTGCAAAACTCCTGACCGCTGTATAAAAAGTGACGGCATTGTGATTTATAACACACTATTATAATGCTGAGATATTTGCACAACTCCGGACCGCAGGTGCTTTGCGGTGGGGAAAGAACGCGCTATTGTCCTTTCCGGGGAGTAACGCATTCACCACCACACCATGCGGGTCCTTCGTTTCGCCTGTCTCTCAGCTAGTTCTGTCGATCTTTTGCCATCAGCAATCACCCGTCAACGGGATTGAACTGTGGAGCCCGAATCGGCATTGAATCCAGTTAAGCTGAGGCTATAGTTATAATTATAATTTTAACCATTTTATTTACTGCTGAGAGACAGGCGAAACGAAGGACCCGCATGGTGTGGTGGTGAACGCATTACTCCCCGGAAAGGACAATAGCGCGTTCTTTCCCCACCGCAAGCACCTGCGGTCCGAAGTTTTGCAAATATCTCAGCATTATAATAGTTATATTTCGCAAAAATACCCTGCCATAAAAAGGAATAAGCAGTAAATAAAATGGTTAAGATTGTTATAACACAGGTTCAACTTAACTGGGTTCAATGCCGATTTGTGCTCCTCAGATCAATTCTGTTGATGATTGATTACTGATAGCACTTATAGGTCAATAGCACGGCTGAGAGACAGGAGAAGTCAAGGATCCGCATGGTGTTGTGATGAACGCGTTAGCCCTTGGAAAAGGTAATAGCGTGTTGGGTCCCCATCGCAGATATCAGAGGTCCGGAGTTTTGCAAAAGTTTTGTAAAATAAATGCAAATCAGCACCATTATGGTTACATTTCACATAATACGCTATCATTAAAAAAGTTAATAAGAAGCGATAAAATTGAGATGCAGTTCTTCTTTGATCGGGTTCACTGAAAATGTAGGTGGTTCCTACTTCGAACCCTCCCAACGGTTTACCGCCGCGTCATCGTGGCTGGAAGGTCTGGGTGTCGGACTGCGATGTACAGCGGGGGATTCATCCCCTGGCAGGGTCTCCCAAGCTGAGAAATAGTCCGGCGTTTCCATCAGGAAGCCTAGTTAGGAGTAAACCAATACCAGGATCGATCACCGTCTTGGTATCAAAGTGGTAAATCTCCCTCTGATCCACAAGGGCTACGACTGCTTGTCGTGGTGACGACCTAGAGCAGACTTTGGCCAGGCTGTCCTCGGAATCAAGGAAACCACAATGGTTAAACCAACAAATCTCAAAAAAATAGTGATTATGCTGGGGCACGCACAACTAGTGATGACGGGGCGTTCAAGTATCAAGTATTAAGTAAGTATCTTACCTCGAACACTACCTCATTGAAAGACTACAGTTCCTGCAGAAGTTTCTTCCACTACTTTTCACTCATGACGCGAGCGAGCACCACTGAAGTTTCTATTCGTCCTCATCTCAACTCAAAGCTGCCTAGCTGGCCAGCGGAGCAAACAGCCTCTCATGGACTGTCTTATTTTTCCTATATTTAATGAAAGGATATTCATGAATAGCTGCATATTTCGGTTATCTGGGTTGACTACACAGACGAGTAGTTCAAAGAGTTTTTCTTGAGTTTGCTGTTTTCTGAAAAGCACACATGGGTTTGTTATTATGTAGTATTTAACCACAACAGCTGACGTATGGGCGGATGTCGCTCACTCCAGAGCCTATAAAGATTAGGCTAGTTAGCTTAGTTTAGATTCGTTAGTTTTCCCAGAGCTCTTGTTGGCTTGTTCGTTGAAAAGAAGATAATCCAAATTTCCTCCTATGTACTTCCAAATTACTTTTTCTCAACTGGACTGGCATACAAATAACGACCGGAGAACACATGAGTGAACTCCTGAATATATGCCTAAATGTATAAATAAGTATATAAAGGCTAGCTCTTGGTGTTGATCATTCCTTGAAGGTATGCCACGCATTCGACTTCATTAAGCATCGTTTGGAGGTAACTGAATGCACATCTGGCCTTTACAATGACTCGCGGTGGCCTACCGATGTATCAAGTCAGTGCTGCTATCCTCCCAGAGAAATCTGGAACAAATTTTCCGAACCCAGAGAGATGGAAGACTTGGTGAACCTGGGGTGCGTGGATCGATCCCATGTGTATTGCAGGGCGGCTCCGACCGTTGCGTTACACGCGCCCTAAGTAAGTGTATACTACCTGAAAATCTCAATTCGGTACTGGTGAAATTAGAAGTCCGCTTTTGTCTCAAAGAAGGAAAATGCTTTTAGTGCGCACTTAATGAATACAGGATAAAGCATTCGATATTGCTTCATAAGGGAGACGCCATTCATTCAATTTCATCAAGCACCATAGAAGTCATCGAATACAAATTAAACTTGTACAGTGATTTTCAGAAGCCTAAAACTGAATCAAGTTAGTGCCTTTTTCTTGCAGACACCTCTAACACCGATTTCTCTCGACCACGCAAGGGTGGATAATTTGTCTTTTCTATGGCGCTTGGGTAAACAGCAAAACACGTATGTATTGGTAGGGCACGTATAATCAGTCGGGTACATAATGACATAATGACAAGTGAGGTTCATGGACTTTTCGAAAGTCGGTTTCAAAATATTACTACGCCTTGTGCTAGCTGATAACAACACCGACTTCTGCACGATGTGCGCAATGATGTATGTCCGGAAGAAAAACAAGTTGTTATCACCGGACATTATTATTATATCCACCATCAGCATCGTGTATAAAAGGGCATCACTGAGTAAGGATGCCTCATTCGAGGAGATGGCTCACTGAAGAAGACCTAACTCGACACGAAGGCGAAGCTGCCACGTCGAGGCGAATAACAAGCGGGGACCATCGACGGATCATCGGCTCTGAGGAAGACGAAGACGTCGAAACGTTAGCCGAAAATAAACATCATTATCAACCTCCTGTAAGCTCATCAAAGAAAGAATACATATTACTGGATACTTTATCTTACCGTAGAATAATGAATCAATTCGGATTTGGAATTCATCCTTAGTTCAATAAAACGAAATTCACAATTAGCTCAGGCTGTTGTGCATACTTACTTACTTGGATATTTGGATGACCCGTCTTCACTGGTTGTGCGGGCCACAGCATAATTTCCACCTTTTCGGAGTTTTGCTGGCCTACCCACCGTGGTTCCCTGGAGTTTAGAGGTCCGCCTGGCAATCCGCCCCAGGTTGTCACCACCACAGGTAGTCGCCGCCTTTATGGATCAGTGGGAGACTTCCCACCATACCAGTAGTTTGATACCAAAACGGTGGTGGATCCTGGTATTGGTTTACTCCCAGATGGGCTTCGTAGTGGAAAAGCCAGACTCCTCAGCTTGGGAGACCCTGCCGGGGGGGGGGATGGGGTGAACAAATCCTCCCGCTGTACATCGCAGCCCTACACCCAGGAACAGCTCCCAGTTACGATGAGGCAGTAATCCATTGGGAGCCTGTTGTGCATAACGAAGAGGAACGGTAAGATAGCGAAGAACAATCACTAGTGAGCCAAATAGATCTCGTTACTGAAGGAAGCGAAGGACACTTTGTTAGCTGTTAACCCTATAGGACATCATGTGGTGCAACTGTAACATAGAAATCACTTCGGTATCTTCAGAGAAAAGCGTTTAAATCGGTTGGAAGACCAAATAAAAAAAAATCGAGAACTTGCACCGTTAGTATAATACCGATCGTTTGGAAACTGCACTGACACTGCCCAACAACACATGAATCAAACGATCTCATACAAACTCAGGTAAACTCAACACCAGTCAGTTTTTCAACGTTTATTCGCATTGTGAAGGAAAAAACAAGGTCGAAGAAAAACACGAAATTATTGTCAACTTCCCACTCTAGCGCAAAAAAAAACTTCTACTGTATTTCAAACCCAAAGACCAGAAAGTAGTCGAACCACAACCGCGAGTTCAAATGGGTTCCGTAGGTGTTTCGACTTTGAAAACGATTCCAAATGATTCCAGATACGAATAGATTCTCGTCCGCGCGAAGGCTGAAGCTGAAGTGAAGACTCCACCACTGAAATTCAGTTAATATTACGGTTTTCTTATGAAGAGAAAAGCCACATTTCTAGATGAATATTACTTTTCCAGTTACACTGTACACGTTGCAAATTGTTAAAGTTTAAAACTAATAATAATAACAAAAGCAATAATTACAGTGGCAATAACAACAATCCGAAAAGTGGTGATGAGAAGCGTAAAAATATTAATGAATATCATTAAAGTGATAGCGACAAGACTGGATTCGAAATAAAAACAAATAAGGTCATAAAAGGAAAACCAGTTTCAAAACGAGAACAAAAACAGAAACAAATTCATTCTGATCATGAGCATTCCTCGAAAAAAAAAGACTAAGAACATAATATTTTCTTTCAGCGAGAATTTCGTACCCTTCAGGAAGGTTCTCCGAGTGAATTAAGGCCAAAGCAGCCGATAGCACGCAAGCGCTAGTGGCCATGTAACCAGCGTCTGGACCTTTACATGTCACGACCATCTATAAGCATGAAAAAAAGTTCTCGTTTCTGCACCAGATGCCTTTTATGATCGCCTCAAACGATTCTATTAAGTATTCTAGTCTATTCTGTCGTTTGTTATTTGTCGAAAAATAAGCTCACTTACCTACATAATTCATAGAACTCACAGTAACCGCTGAATTTCTTAAACAGTGGCCTACAATCTTAATGCTATTAAATACAAAAGTTAGTTATTAAAAAACAAGTATCCTCAAACAGCATTCAGCATATAAATGAAGAAATTCGACGACAAATAGTCAAACCACAGCCGAACCCATAACCGTACTCGGCCTCCTTCATAGATAACAGTTACAAGACAATGGATCGAACGGAAGAAATACTTAAGCTCGCTTCACTTATATTTTCGCACTACTTTTGACGAGTTTTATCACTCTCCTTAAAGATTGTGATTACCTTCTCAACCCAATAAGTTATCGTGTTTATACCCAACCACTGTAGCAATTGCTCATTTGGGTTCACGAATTAGCAAAGTCCGGAACGTTTTTCTTTTTCAGATTTTCATTTTGTTTTCCTTAGCAACAACCCTTGACTAGTTCGAGACAACTGCGAGAATTATACTCATCAAACTCGAAGTCTATCCAACTATAGACTATCAAAAATCTCAGAGCGTCTGTGGGAATGGAATGCATAAATTTTTACTCACCCGCTTATCAGGGTTACCCACGTGCTGTTCACGCAACGGCTTACGATCCGAATATCCGTATCCGAAAAACCAATAGACAAACGATGCACCAGCTATTTGCTCTTCTGTTGGCCCAGAGTTCTACGAAAAAAAGCCCAGTTTTATACATCCTACACAGAAAATAAGTAGTAGAAATCGTGCAAAACTAAAAATGTAACAAAGAGAACGAATCTCATTGCCACCTTAAACATGTTGAAACTGCATAGATCCGGATATTTTTGAAGTATTTTCCTTGTGAATTCGTATTGCACGAGAAAAGAGAAAAGAAATATCCAAATTGCAATCATTATTGCCCAGAATAACGATGAATCTCCACGGTATGTTTCCACATGTACCTAAAATATTATTGCCTTCTTTATTTTTACGGCTCCCTGTGATAAAACATTTAATGCTTCATCTTTCACGCTACTTAAATACCTGGGATAGCCCGTCTTCACTGGTTCCGCGGGCGCCACCGTAATTTCCATTTTTTAGAGTTTCGCTGGTTTAGCCATTGTGATTCCCTGGAACCCTGATGTCAACCTAGTCAAAGCCTGCCCCATGTCGTCACCATCACAGGAAGCCACCAACTTTGTGGATCAGAGGGAGATTTGCCACCATGCGACTAATCTGATACCAGGGCAGTGGTGGATCCTGGTATTCGTTTACTCATAGCTGAGCTTTCTGATGGAAACGCCAGACTCCTCAGCTTGGGAGACCTTGTTGGGGTGATGAATCCCACTAGTGTACACAGCAGCCCTGCACCCAGGAACACCTCCCAGCTACGATCAGGCGGTAAACCGTTAAGAGGCTTTCACCATTATAAAAGAAAACGAGTATAAGAATAAAGTGCTGAGTGTCGATAAATCTCTTGGTGATGCATCAAACATCTGATCTATTGAAGCAGGCATTTGAGAGGTGACTAAATGTATTTATAGTCTAAAAAGTAATCTTCTAGTACATCCCATGTACTAAGTCAGTGTTTACACTTTCCCAGATGGGCTGATACCAATTTACCAACTCTGGGTGGGAGGCTTGGTACCAACGACCATGTTTGTACCTGCAAGCCACCTCTTTCGAAAAAGAAAACTTACAGGACGCTTGCCGTTCACTACAGCGTCGTAATACTGCGAACGATTCACTATCGATTTGTCTGATCCCAAAAACGGCATTGCCCAAGTATCCAGTTCCTTTTCCTGCATATGCCATATGGTTCCCCTGAAGCAGAATTTATTAAGTGGAAGCTCAGAATGTCATAAATATGGTAGTGATTAGCTTTATCTTTTAGACAACTGCACAGTTAGGATATTTCAAAAACGTTTTAGGCTAATAAATTTCTGCGTTTAACCCATTCGTAACGACAGGGACACTATACTCTCCAATATGTGGCGGCACGAGTGGTCGATATGAGCCACATACGATTCATTTCTTCCTAATGCTTTATTTCGGCGTGCACGGTTTTTTCACTAAAAACTTTTTGTTTGTAATAATTCGATAGCTTATCGAAACCAGAATAATGTAGATGAGGTCAGACCAGAAAAACCATTCTTTTCAGTTAATGATTAAAAATATGTACTTCGGAAGAGTTAATGGACAGGTAATCTAACTACCGTTTGACTATTTCATTTTAACACCTATTTATGAGCCATGATTATCTTATGGGATGCGCAGGTTTAAAAAAAATCAAATAGATTCAAAATGAATTGCAAAACTCTTCCAAACGCTGACAGCAATTTGTTTGCACGGTGGAGCACAGTAAGATGTAGTAGAGAGAAGCATACGTACTACTCATAACAATAGAACGATACAGTAAAGCCTTTCCTACAATCCTGTCATGTTCACAACTCCTCATGTCCTCCAGTTGTCGAAAAATTACTGTTTATTGTCGGAAAACTAGTAAGTCCCTAGCGACATGAAATTAGACGCAGTACACTATAGCCAAGCAAAAATAGGTGCCATTGCAGGGTTAAATTGAAATTGACGGTCCGCGGTTAATTATTCTTCGAGTCCCTAAAAAGGTATTGTTAAGTGCCAATCTACGATTTATAGCCAAGGTTCACAACCACGAACATCCAAGTTTACATTCGAAAATCCTACTAGAAGTAAAACAATGTTGGGAATTTCCCACGTCGTGAAAGAAACCCATCTGCAAAACGGCAAATCTTCCGATGCAGAAATTGTAACAAATTCCTATGATTAAGACCAGCAACCCCATCGAATGGGTTTCTTACCCCTTCTAGGGAAAAAAAACATTGTGCACACAGTGAGAAAGAAATACAGAACGTCAATATGAAACGTCCGCAGAGAAATTTAAACGTTTGGCTAACCTTTTTGGCGGTTTTATGGCACCTTTCACGATTTTCTCTGGCATAATGGCACGACGGATTTTTCCCAAACCATCATTAGCCGTTTCACTGAATGCAAGAATTAGCGTCTGATAGGTTCCAGCGTTAATTGCATAGCCCTTAAATTATTTACGGTTTAGTTTAAATAAAATCATGGTTTAATAAGTTTCAACAATTATAAACAAATTATACAAAATATTTTAACATGCGAACAATGTTTTCCACTTCAAATGTCTTCCCTTTCCATCTTATTTTTTCATTCAGTTCAAAATTGTAGAGGAGTGACCGCTAACTTACCAACGGCCCGCTCTTCAACTGCACAAATGTCTCGACGTGGTTAAGATCACCATCGAATTTCTCTTTCAAAAAATTCACTCCAAGATCACACGGAATGGAATCCCATCCACAAGCGCCAACCACATATACGCCCTAAACGCTTTTAAGTCACGTACCGTAGCGAATGACGAGATGCTATACCATTTATGAACGTTACCATCCGTTTGATTAAGCGTATCTGATAACTAAATAACACGATATTTTAACCTACTAAGAACGCCACTTTCTCGACTTCTTCTCTCTACCTTAAAGTATGCGTCAGAGACCTGGTTGCTACGTAAGCGGGATGAAAGATCACTTGGCGTTATTGAACATGTAACCGAGAGGACAACGCTAGGAGTATCTTGTCACACGCAAGAGATAGCGGGCATAAGAAGCTCCGACTTACAGTAACGATCAAAGGTCAAAGTCGCGTTGTGTATGTCAAACTGTCGAAAATAAGGTGGAACTGAATTTCTCGGGATGTCAAATGCACAGCAGGAAGATCACAGATCCAGTGATCGGAGTTCCTCACGAAAACCTTAGAAGATATGACGCTCAACGGCTCCATAGAATGAGTAAGACCCAATGGACAAATCTTGCAAGCGATAGGAAGAAATGGAAGGTTTACGAACACCAACTTGACTCAACAATGAACGAAATGACAGATTGCACAGGTGATATCGGTGATGCGAGTCTTCTCCTGAAGCTTCGAAAACGCAGTGGTAGAACATGTTGTTCGGTAATACACACAATGTCTTAGCCCTAACCCGCATCAGGCCGGCAAAGCCACCATTTCTGCGGGGTTCAAATACGGACGGATATCATAGGCTTCCAGGGAAAGTCGACATGATAAATATTTGACGCAGTTTGTGAAGAAAACAGTTCTTAATGTGAGAAAAAGATGTGGACAAAAGAAGTGGTGGGATCGACACAATATTCAATGCGTTTTCTTGTTCAGCAATCGCGATGCTGTTGTACAGCATACATTTACTTCCATAGGAAAATACAATACAATACAACAGCAGCTGACGTTTGGGCAGTATCGCCTCTTCAGAGCCTGGAAGGGTATACGGATATACAATCTACTAGGCCGAACGCTTCAATAACACTTAGAAAAAGATGAAAAATTCTAAGGCAATTACATCATCAACAGCTTCTCGAAAAACCCACCGCTTTTTACGTGACTTCCAATGAGTAAGTTTAGAACAGCTGATTATAGTCGCATATGGTTAATGACTGCACCATCCCACATCAGAAATTGATGCGAACATACGCGGTCAGGTCGCGAATGACCTCTGGGCATTCATCTCTCCTACTCACTGTAGGGTTTTTGGCATTTATCCAAAAAGCCTCAAAAAGTTTTCGTGGTGTTTTGGACTCCTGTGCAAGGATATTGACTTTTACTTCAAAATCGTCTCCGCTATGCCTTTGTATCCTATGCGTGCCTAATGGGGTACTTTATCTTAGTTTTCGTTTGCCATCTAGGCGTTCTTTTATACGGATACACAAAGGTCTGCCCGTTTCGCCAATATATTCATCTCCGCAATTGTTACACGAGATCAGGTATATCGTACGTGAACTCATGCAACCACCGTCCCTGCCGTAAGAGCAAATTATGCAATTTCTTGTTTCACATAGACGGTCACACAGTCGGTTACGAATAGTATCTCAACTATCGCTACCGATTCCTCTAGACCTGCCCTTCTTAAGCATCGTTTTATAGCTACGCTTACTTCATCGATAATAAAGGGCAACATTAACGGGTCTTTCTTTTGGCCAAGTGTTTCGCGTGGGCGCGTCGCTCTCCTTCCAAACTTATCTCGTGGGGTTACTATTTCGTAGCCATTGGAGATGGCTATTTTCCGAGCCAAGTCGCGCGATTCTTCCTTAAGTTCCCTAGTAGTGCACACAGAGGTGGCTGTTCGAAACATGTTTCTCACAATCGCCCTCTTTGTGTGTGAAGGGTGGGAAGAAAGGAAATGAACAAGAATGTTCTTGTTACTTGGCTTTCGATACCACTTTGTCAGGTAACCGCTACTTGATAGGTTTATTTGAACGTCGAAAAACGGAAGCCAGTTTTTTCTCGGTTTCTCCCGGGTGAACTTTATGTACTCGGACTGCTCGTTCAATAATTCAAAGCATTTGTCCAACTCCTCCTGCGTAGAGAAGACGACAAAACAATCATCTACATATCTGCAGTAGAGTAGTGGCCGGAGATCGAGAATAGGGGCTTCTATCTTAGACATAAACACAATGGCAAGGCTTGGTGCCAATCGCTGTCCCATTGCCAACCCCCTTATTTGTGCGAAATATTTCCCAGGCCATCTGAAAATCGAGCAGTTTAGGCACTTCTTTAAGAGAGCCGTTAGCTGCTGGATGGACAAGCCATGCATATTTATTCTTCCTTCATGTTCAACAGGAAGTTCGAAGATGGCTTGCATTGCGGAGTCATTCGACACGTTAGTGTACAGTGCGGTAACGTCGAAAGACTCCATCGCGTACGCGTTATTAGGAGACGCGTCACGTAGACGTTCTTGGAACATTTGGGTGTTTATGAGGTGAGCTGGAATGTGGTTAAGCAACTGGGTAAGTATCAGGCTTAAAAACCAGGTTATTCTATCCGTTGGCCCGTCTACACAGCTGATGATCGGTCTAACCTTAAATGATGACGGATTTCTGATGATGATTCTCAGGTATTGTTATGCCCCCAATCACGGTAACCCGAGGTTAATAGAAAGTCGATCCAGGGAACAATATTCAATGTTTGATCATGTAGATCAAACACAGGCCATGTAACACCAACTCCGGAAAGGATAAGATCTGAACACTTGAAGAACCTTCCGCCAGTCCTCGTAAACACAGTGGCTCGGCTCTTCACACGTTACCTGTCTGAATGCAAGGTCCCTACTCAGTGGAAGACCAGCAAGACCGTGTTATTGTTCAAGAAGGGTGACCTATACGATATCGGCAACTATCGCCCAATCTGCTTGCTGTCTGTCGTCTACAAACTTTTCACTTCAGTTATCCTAAACAGGATCGACGGAACACTAGAGTAAGGATAGCCATGTGAGCAACCAGGGTTTCCAAGAGGATTTAGTGCGATGGACCACATCCACACGGTAACACGGCTCATTGGAAGTATCGCGAGATTACAAAAGACCGCTCTGTCTCACTTTCGCCGATTAACGGAAGGCTTTTGATTCAATTGAGATGGAAGCAGTCATGAAAGCCCTTAATAGTCAGGGAGTCCTTACTCAGCACATAAAGACTCTTCGTCAGCTGTGCAACAATTTCTCAACTAGGATATCACCATTCTACAACGATATTGACATTGACGTCAAAAGAGGGATCAAGCAAGGCGATACCATCTCTCCAAAATTATTCACCGCCAACCTCGAGAACATTATGCGAGTATTAGAATAGGATAACATGGAAGTGAAAATCGATGGTCGGCAATTACACCATCTCCGCTTTGCTGATGGCACCGTCCCTATAACACCAAACATTAGCCAAGCGGAACGAATGTTTGCCGACTTTGATAAAGCCTGTGGAAAGATTTGCCTTCGCCTAAATCTCAACAAAACGATGTTAATGAGAAACGGGTTGGTTTTGTATGCCCCGTTCACGCTCAACGGAACGAATATCTCCGAATGCTCCAGTTAGATCTATCTAGGTCGGTAAATCGATATGATGAACGACTTAGCTCCAGAGCTGAGCAGAAGAAAACAAGCGGCTTGGGGAGCTTTCAAGAGCGTCGAAAATGTAGTGAAGAGAACAAAGAACACCCGACTCCGTGGTCACCTTTTCGACCCAACGGTACTTCCTGCCCTAACGTATGCGTCAGAAACGTGGTCACTGCGTAAGCAGTATTCAGCGTGATCGAACGCGCAGTCGAAAGGACGATGCTAGGAGTATCCCGTCCCACACAAGTAAGGGACGGGATCCGGAGCTCTGATCTGCGTCAACCATCAATCAAATAAAAAAAAATCAAAGGTGCTGTTCTGTACGCCAAACAGTCGAAGACAAGGTGGGCCGGACACGTAATGCGTATGAACGACAATCGATGGACACGAGCCATTAGTGACTGGATTCCTCGGGATGTTCAACGCTTTGCAGGAAGACCACCGACCCGGTTGTCAGAGTTCTTCACAAAGAACCTTGAAGAAAGATGTGATGCTTGACGAGTCCCTAGAGCGAGCAAAACCCATTGGACTACTCTTGCACGCGACAGGGAAAAATGGAAGATTTACTGGCGCCCGCTCGAGTCACTCGACGATCAAGACGATGACAGGTGAAACATGAGGTGATCACGTAGAAAATACTCTTAAATAACAGACCACTTTGTAACTTCAAGTTAAAACTCAAACATCTTCAAATTTCCCTCTTTAAATATTGTTAAATAATAAATGAATACAGGACATAAAAGAACCGCTGTCCGATGAATCCAGTGAAAACTCAGCTCAAATCATCATGCAACAGTGATGACGAGGAAAGCTGACAAGACGATCGTCAAGTCGCAGAAAATCCTCACATGAACCTGCCAATCTTTATGGAGGCCGTCACTGAGAGCAGCGAGAGAACAAGAAGAAGAACTCGGGTCTGAACTTCATGTCGAGATGTATACAAACATTAAAGCATCTGTGGAAATTAGAACAGAATGTCAGTATGAGTCATATTAGGGTTTAAAATTCATAAAAATGTTAAACATGAGATTCCTGTCAAACTAGACAGGCTCTAGCGAAGATTATCCGCTGAATTAAAGCAACGAAAAAACGTTTTGTTACTCCAATATAGAGAATATAACCCAGTTCAGAATAAATCGAAAGTTCAGATGAAAAGTGACCAAAACGGATAAGAATACTGTCATCGTTGTTTATAATCAGCTTCAACTGGTTCTAACGTCTGTGGTGCCTTCCCCTTTCTTTTATTTTCTCTTGTTATGATAAATAAACTATCGTATATTACTGACTTAAAATCGGTTATGTTATTTCAGCATCTGCAAACTTTCCAATATAACTGAAAAACCTTAACTAAAACCTAAAAAAACCTTAACTAACCTTAATAACTGAAATCCAATATAACCTTTCCATTATAGCTTAAAACTAGGTACTATCACAACGATGCTGAGATATTTGCAAAACTGCAGACCGCAGGTTACCCTTTCCGAGGCCTAACGCATTCACAACCTCACCATGTGGGTCCTTCGTTTCGCCCGTTTCTTAGCTAGTTCTATCGATCAGTGCCATCAGCAATCACCTGTCAACGGGATTCGGAGAGACCAAATCGACAATGAACCCAGTTAAGCTGAATTTGCAGTCGAAATCACAATATTAACCTCTTACTTACTGCCTATTACAATGCCAACTAGACGCTGTGATTAATTATTTCAAAGAATCTAACCACCTACCTTTTCTTCAGATAATGTACCAGAATAATTTACCTTCTCTTTAGCCTTTTCGCTGTGTAGCATCTGCATTTTTTCGAGGAACTAAAAGAACCGAATTAGAAAGTCAAAAAAGCTATATAAAAATCGGAAGACTGCAAACTGCTTTATCTGAATGATAAATTCTATCTATAGATAGAATCTATAGAAAACAACTAAGCAAGTACGAATTAACTTAGTTTAACGATCTTTTCCTCTTAACACCTAAAAGTTGCAAATGAGTTTGATCGAATGTTACTCGACAGTCCTATTTCCACATTACACACATACACGCATAAAATAAGACTTAGTACTCTTTCTTTGATGAGCTTACACGAGGTTGATAATTATATTTATTTTCGGCTAACGTTTCGACGTCTTCGTCTTCTTCAGAGCCGATGATCCGAGTCGACGGTCCGCGCTTGTTATCCGTCTCGATGTGGCGTCTTCGCCTTTGTATCGAGTTCTGTATTCCTCAGCGGGCCATCTCCTCGAATGAGGCATACTCACTTGATGATGCCCTTTTATGTAGGTTGCTGATGGTGGATAGCTGTGATTGTCCGATGATACTGTGATAGTAACTTGTTTTTCCCGGACAATCAAACCTGCAGAAGTCGGTGTTATTATCGGCTAGCACAAGTATGAGCATGCGTCATTCGAGGAAGACCTGACTCGACACGAAGGCGAAACTGCCACATCGAAACGAATAACACGCGTGGACCATCGACTCGGATCATCGGCTCTAATGAAGACGAAGACGTCGAAACGTTAGCCGAAAATAAATACAATTACCTACCTCGTGTAAGTTCATCAAAGAAAGAATACATATTGATTAGTCACACAGAGGTTCAAGGAACGTCGGTTTCAAAATATAAAATTTAGTATCTAAAATAAGGAAAATAAACCAACAGCTGGCTCGCCGGAGATATCCACATAGCTTGCACCATTTTCAACAGCCGCCTTAACAACTGGCTCGCCATAGAGACGATACTGTAACGGAAGGCTCCATCAGAAAAAATGATCATGGAAAGCTTAAACAACAGTTTCATGGAAAACATAGGATCAAAAGTTGTTATTTACGCATAAATACTTACTCACAGGGGTGTTACATGGTTGTGATGTTAGCAAACTTATTGTGACGAAAGATACAAGTATAATGTTGAACAAATCCACCTCTCAAGAGTAAGCATTCCCTACGACTTCATACGGCATTTCCATCCGCAAGCCTAATCATGCCGTGGTTGACAAAACCCACTCACAAGGCAGCAAATCTCAATGTGATCCATAAAGATAAGCGAATAAGTACGGTGACAAGATCAGGAAGCTCTGGGAGGACTACCTCGAAATGCTATCAAAAAAGTGCTCTACCCAACAAAATATCAGTCAAATTGAAATGTGTTGGCTTGCGCACAATTCATGAAGATAATCCACTCGAAATTTAAGTAAGTTGATGATCTGTATGTAACTCTACTCAGTAGAATTGTAGTCAATCAAATGTACAACTACAGGGAGAGGAATATTATACATAACCGATAGAGTTCAGTTATACGCATGCATTAATCAGACCGCACAGAAACCCTTAAGAGAAGTACTAGGGAATCAGAACCAATAGCATGGGGATCTATTGACATCCAAAAGGTAAACATGTTAGAATCCCACTCACAAAGTTCTCCGCTGTAGGTGATCCATAAAAGAAATCCCTTACAACTCATTCTCAATATGAACAAGATGCCAATCTAACCAAAGGTGAGACCTCAATAATCAATGAACATTCTAAATTTACACTTCTATTAAAATCTGTCAATAACTAAGGCATGAAGACCTACCTAAGCATCTTTTATTTGCGTTGCCAAATTCCAACACTTTCTCATGGTTGAAAAAGAAAGGTGTAGGTCTAACTTTTGCACAATCTCATCTTGTTCACCAAAATTCTTCTAAACTACTGCAAATAAAGTGGTCGTTAAAAATCTATGTAGGTTTCTGACAGATAAAAGCAAAGCAAAGACCTCGGTTGGTGCGGTGGATAGCATGTGAGGCTCTGTAAGGGTAATCGTGGGTTTGAAGCTTGAGGTTCCCAGTTCTGCTCATATCTCAGTATCTTTGTAGTTGTATTCCACATAACACCCAGAGCACAACGAGCCACAATAGCTGCACCAGCAAAACTCCAAAAAGATGGACATTACGCTGGGGGCGGCACAGCCAGTGAAGACGGACTACCTCAGTAAGTAACAGTAGTACAAACTTTGCTATGCAAAAATACAACGACGGGATGCCGTAAAAAGAACTAGGCACCACTATATTTTAATAGTTTATCTTTATTCTGATAGCTTTTATGCTACTTACGTCAGATCTCACCATCTTAGCTATTACCTAACTAACGGTATTACATCGACGTCAAAAGTTAGGTTAGGCAAGGCGATACCATTCGGCCAAAATTGCTTAGCACCACCTTTGAGAATATCACGTGAAGAATGGGACAAGATGGGAATGAAAATCTTTGGTTGGCAAATATAGAGTCTTCGTTTTGCTGATAGCATTTATTACTCAGGTGGGACGAATGCTAGCCAATTTTGCTGACGCTTGTGGAAAGAATGGTCTTCGAATAAGTCTCACAAAAACGATGTTTCTGAAAACGGATTGGTTACGTATGCCCTATTGACGCTCAACAGAATGAATGTCTTTACATGCTCCACCCACGTTCATCTAGGTCAGGAAATTCACACGATGAACGACTTCGCTCCAGAGTTGAGTCAGGAGCTTACAAGAGTATCGAGGATTTAGTGACGATAACAAAGAACTATGGACTCATTGCCCACCTTTTCAACTGCACGATTCCTCTTGCCTTAACACTTGCGTCAAAAATATTGTCTCTACGTAAGAAAGATAAAATATCACTCAGTGTTATAGAACGCGAGGACAACAGCAAGATGTAAGAAATATTACGTATTACGAAACTGAGGGAAGGCATCCGAAGTTTCGACCTACATCAGCGATAAAAAATCGAAGACGCCGTTCTACACGTCAACTTGTCCAAGATAAAGTGGGCCGGACACGTATTGCGATGAACGACGACCGATGGACAAGAGCCTGGATTCCTTGTGACTGGATTGACTGGATTCCTAGCGACTGGATATATATTAGTGACCGGATTCCTCAGGATGTCGAACGTATTCCAAGAAGACCACCGACTCGACGGCTAGAGTTCTTCATAAAAACCCTAGAAGAAAGCTACGAAACTCGAGTCCTTTAAGAGAGCAGAATACACTGGACTACTCTTGCACGAAACAGGAAGAAATGGAAGATTTACTGGGTCCTCTGCGTCACTCGACGGTGAACGGAACGAGAAGTGATACAGATGAAGTCTGACTTACTGTCTACCAGTACCGCTGCATAAATTACAGCATCGAGTTCGAGGTAGGATCTATTTGGTCCAAGTGTGTTCTCTTTCCAAGAGTAACCGGAGGAGAAAAATTCAAGAAAAACCACATCATACCAAGAAGCTGATGCTCTTCACGTTTGTCCAGTAAGCCGGGTCACTGCTGTGAAATGTAACGGTGGCATAGTTATTTTTGTATTGTTGTTGTAATATTGTTAACTCTACAAATATGTGTATTCATTTATTTTGGCTACTCACCGGTCCAACGGCGTTTACAATGACCTTTGCTCTCTTCGCCATCTCGGTCATTGACTTCTCGTCTGACGAATCAGCGATAATTATGGGCGTTGCGTTTATATCCTTTCCTTGAAACACAAATTTGACAAACACCAACATGAAACATACGACTGATCAACGGCTACTAATGTAACATATATTGCCTCTCTATTTGAACCTAACGTCTAGATCACCTTAAGGGAATCCTAGTTTTTTTTCAGTGTTTTCTTGATGAGCAAACGTGAGTTTGTCATTCTATTCTTTATTTAAAAACAAGCTGATGTTTCGGTGAATTTCGCCTTCTTCAGAGCCTTGTATGAACAAGTTGCCTGCAATTTACCCTAAACATTAATACAGTGGTAGAGCTTGATGCAAGAGCTACAGTGACTCACCAAGCTGTAGAAGCACCTGTAACCCATCTCCCGTCATTGCCCTACTGTAGATATGTAGACTATTGCCTTGTCCTTTGCCTCACACAAGAGAAAAGGGACGAATGCTTTGAGTTACTGAATGAACATTCAGATTACATTACGTTTACCCGACAGAAACCGAAAGAAAACTGATTTCCACTTATGAACGTTGGAATTAAGCTACCCGAAAACGGCTGTTACGAAATGCTATCAAAAACCATGTAGCAGGAACATAATGGTTCATTACCTCTCCTCTCATCCCTCACACACAAAACGGACGCTTGCCAAATACATGCTTCGAAAAGCCATCAGAGTGTTCACAGGAAGAAATCAGAAGGTTCCAATGCGATTGAAATCTTTGTTCCATGTTTTTGGTTTTGGCTATAGAGGTGGTACGGCTGGGTATACTGCGGTCAACATGACCGTACCAGGCCCTGAGGAAGACGAAATCCACCCGATCTTAGGTTTTTTGTCAATAAAAAATGAAACAATAACCTCGTGCTTGCTCATCAAGAAAACAGTGAACCTTTTAATCAGTGCAGAGGTTGGTGGAAATTCAGTCTTAGGAATTACTTAGCTTTTTACTTTTCTTTTGATCTCATTACAGCTCTCCCCATCATTCCGCCAGTTCAGTGAAATTACTAAGATATTACTGGGATTGAGCACAGAAAGTACTGTTCTGAAATGTCCAAATAAGTCTGCAAAAAAAAACATTTATAGGGAAACTATTACCTAAACGAGCTAGGAATCTCCACGGACAATGAATTCGAAACCTTAACAAGATAGTTCCCAGGAGCGACTTTCTATTAACCTCGGCATTAGATTATAATAAGATATATCTGAGAGACTACTGAGCTCATTTATCAGCGAAAAATTACTTTCTTATATGATTACAAGAAAAGCAGCAAAGTTAGCTTGTTGAAACTGCACAGGCTGTTTACCAATGTTCGTTAGGGCTTTAATAATTATAAATCCATAATGACCAATGACAAATTATTGAAAGTTCCTGCCACCATAAGGTGCTATAAAGGACATTATCGTCTTCTATCTCCACCTCTTAGATAGCGCAATCTCTTATCTTCCTACGATCAATGTGAAGGTGAATGACATTGTTCCGCGCGTACTCCTTCCTAAAACCTGATACGCTGTCGCATCGGATACGAATCGCAAACCACCTGATCCCTGCGGGATTGGATCAGAATACCTTAAGAAAATGTGCTATACAAGAACAGAGACCAGCACAACATCAGCAACTACTACGTAATTTGCTTGAGGTAGTGCGTAAAAGCTCTTCAACCAAGTTACCATTACAGGATTCAAAGAACAGTCGACTAAGACAGCAATGATCGCAAGCAACTTTTAGATTAGGTTTCAGTTCGATAGATCTAGGGCGCGTCTAGCGCAGTGGTTGGAGGCGCCATTGCAGCACACACGTGGAATCGATCCCCACGCCCATGGCCCACCAAGCCCTCTATCCCTCCAGGGCCGGCAAATTGGTATCAGACTTGTCTGGGAGGATAGAAGCACATGCTCGATACATCGGTAGGCTACCGTGAGTCATTGTAAAGGCCAGATATGCATTCAATTATCTCCAACGATACCTAATGAAGTCGAATGCATGGCGCCTCCCTCAGGGATTGATCAACGCCGAGAGCTTTATCCTTTATCGTTTACGATAGATCCAACACATGGACAACTATAGCTTCTACAGTTATTATGCAAAGATATCAAATGAAATACAGAGCTACTTCGCTGCCGGAATTTTGCCATTCAACAACGATATAATTGTCGATAAGACAAGGCAATACCTCTTTGCCAAAACTGTTCAGTGTTATCGCAAAGAATATCACGCGAGAATTAGAATGTGACCACATGGACGAGATAGTCGAGAGCAGGAAATCACTACATCTTCTTTGCTTGTCCGATAACGCTTTTCTCATAACACTAGGAATCTGACTGAATCTGATGAGGCATGTGCAACAGTCGCTCAACTGAACCTAAGGGAAACTCATAGGAAACAATGGAATGAATGCACCTCACAGAAACTGAAAAGCTTGAGCAACTCGAAAGGGCATCACGAAAGCAAAAAAGGAACAACCCATTCGGCTCCCACCTATTCTGTTCCACTGTTCTTGCCACTTTTAAAATACACTTGTGTCACATGACGACTTTATTAGAACGTTGTTACGTCGACACTGTGATGCTAGTTCCATTGCACCCAAATAAGAGAACAAATTAAGAGTTCCAATTTATGATGAAGACCAAAGGCAAGCAACCCAATCAAATATGGTAAGATACTGAATAACAGATAGGCCGAAAACGCCTTAAATTTGAATAAAGCTGTTGTAAAACGTCGTCAAAAGCCATCAACTCGATTTTCACATTCCTTAAAGAAAACGCTAGGATAACTACGATGCTCTTGATATCCTCCTCGAGAGGTTTGTTTTTGTGACCCTATTTTTGTGAACGTAGAAGATTATCGAAGATGGATATGGTGCCCACCGTAACCCGATAGATGGTTGATTCGTTCGATAGAAAAACATTAGTGTAAACAAAGGCCTGACCTTTGTTTGAACACTGCGCACACAGATGGCTATGACAATGCCGTAAAACGTCTCTCAAAGACGGTCAGAGGCCGACTTTAATTATAGGCAAAGTAAAAAGATGTCAACAGTTAATCCTAACCAAACATAAAGAAGTGCTGTGGCATTTATAATATCCTAGTACCAGTAAGACTTCCTCTTCATAACGTCGAACAATCCACTCATCCGGATCGACAGTTTAGTAATAATGCGAAGATTTGAACTGCTCCATCTTCAATTACTAATTCAACTACTTCAGCATAACTGGAACAGATTCTTATTGTCGAACACGAAAGTCACTGAGAAACTTTCCAATCGCAAACTTTACTCATACAGTTTGTCGATACAACCGATGAGATTATAGAAAGTATTAAAAATCACGTCTCTAAAATCACATTACGCAAAGTACGGGACACTTCAAATTCACTCTGCTTTGTGTTTTACCAGTTTTCTATGCAGCGCTTACTTTTTTCTCTTCTCTGTCTATTAATTACTAGCATTAATGTCATAGAATAAAATAAAGGCCTCTAAACATTATTCAGTGCTTTTGTGACACATGAATAATTCTATTTAAAGCTGTATTAACAACGCCGTCTTGCCTCGTAATCGTTTACCCCTCTACCATCATGGTCTTAGTGGTACTAAACACCTATGGTCGAATTCTCTAAACGTAAAACCCTAACGTTAGCATGCTTTCTTGTTTGCCATGATTTCAGCCTGTCGTGATAAGCATCCACACCTACATTCCAGTTTCATGCATGTTTTTCATAGGTATCGATCGGTTTGGAGCGTAGATAGCAGAGAATACTCTCGCACACACTGTCATTCGCCCCCATACCCATGGTATCCAAGTCGTCTCATTCCTACAAATGTCGTGGAATAGATAATAAAACACTGACCGACACATAACACAGGACACTGTGACATATCCACAAACTTGTTGTTCACTACCGTAATCCCACAATAGGAAAATTGTTTATTCTCTACAAAATTCTGGCAAACAAAGTGCTTTTCAAATTGATTACTGCAAGCTCTGAAAAAGATGAAACCGCCGAAACGTCAGCCAGTGTTTTATCCAGTGCATTTGAAGGATTAGCAACCTAATGTCTACTCAAGAAGAAAACGTTAATTCAAAGCCATGGACATTCTGATAACAACGTTAGCGCTTTCGAGAAATCATCATCAGCTCCCTTATGACTTCATGGTTCTTTTCTGTTTTTACGACATAGCATTTCTTAAAGTAATAACAAAAACATGACGTCATAATAGCTCTCAAAATACAATATCGTAGCAATGTTGTCCAAAGGCTTACTGACTCATCGTCACAGGGTGTTCCTCAATGCCGAACTTATAATGTACGACAGTAGTCCATTCCCTCAGTATGGTCATCCAAGATCATAAGGAGCTCAACATAAGCTACTAGCAAACCTATGGTATGGCAGAGCCACGTGACCTATTCATGGCTAGGCTTCCCTAAACCTTCGTAAATAAAAGGTTCTATTCCAGAAGTGCTATACTCTTCATTTCTTCGAGTGGGGAGAGCTCATTGAACAGTTCTGGTCACAGACAGAAATGAATGGAAACGCCATCGATACCCAATTGGTTTACATGATAAGAAACAAGATTATAAGTGATAAAGGCAACATAGATGATTGCCATAACCGATACCGAAACTCTTACCGATTTTCTTGGAGACCGTATCCAACACTTGTTGAAGTTTCGACTCGTTTCTACCAGATATGGCGAATGAAAGTCCCTTAAAGAAATGGAACAAAAAGTTGTAGAACAAAGTGAATGACGTACAGCAAAATTAATGCTTCACCTCGTAGTGTTTTGACATGACAAGCTGTCTCACAATGTAAGTACCGGTAAAACCTGTTGCACCGTAGATCACCACGTCGTATCGCGCCATTGGAAGCTTACAAAAATTATGTTTAAAATTAGATAGTTAAAAAACGAGTTACGAGGAACAATGCGAAAGAACCGGCAGTGGAAATCTCATTGCAAACAACCTGAACAAAAAGTGATCAAGAAAAGGTGGTGAGATAACAGGGACAAAATCGATAAGGACAAAATCGAAAGGACGTTTAGATCTCTAAGTTTGAAAGTTTTTGTTCTACAGTCTTTTACACATTTTTTCTACAACTGAATAAGAATAGTAATAAGAAACCTGGCGATGGTGACTTTGTACGATATCCAAACAAATGTGATAATTCCGAAGTTATGAACTTATCTAGTAATACCAGCATCGCCAGCAGTTTCAACAATCATCGAGTAATCCGTGCGGTCACCACCAAAGGTTCCATTCGTTCATGTCGCTTATCAGAGCCGAACAGAGGTCTCTGCTTATAAAAATGACACGAAGAGCATTATACTTTCTGTATAAGGCTCTTTAACTTTACTGTTCTTGCTGACAGGTCAACTAAAAGTAACTTCGCTAGGCTCTGACATAACACGAATTCACTCTTTAGTATATCTCGTGTGGAGCTATCAAACTTCTTGGAATAGGTCAGCTTGCTGCGAGAGTAAACCCCATTCGCAGTTTACATTGCAGACTTGCAATCAAGAACACCCAAGAGTTACGAAGAAAGCAACATTCCATTTAAATCATTAATTCAGTAATAAATAGAATCCTGGAAACAAGTTTATAATCAGTAAAATGACACTTTCTACTAGTATTCTGGCAGAAGGTCACTTCATAATAAACTAGATTTACATAGTCCACGTCATGTATTCATTTTGTGCTCCTTAGTGAAAAAATGCTAACATCAGAGCCACAATTATGCTGAGACATCTGCAAAACTTGGTCGCCAAGCCAGATTCTTGGCCTAACCTTAGATTCCTTGGAAACAGAAGCAATAAAACCAGGTTTGTAAAAGCTGTTTACTTTGATATCGGGATAAATTTTTAAAGTAAATATGAAGTCGAAATCGCCCACAAGATAAAGTTCAATCTCAATCTTACACCCAACATCCTTCTTGAAACGCCTAGTTCACCCGCCGCTTAATTATTTCGTCTCCGAAAAATTCCCGATCACTCCACTATCTTGCGATCACTCCACTATCTCGCGATGGTCGAATTTATGTGCTACGATGGCCACGAAAACTGGACCTCAAAAAAAGGCAAATGGTGAGAAGACCAATTCAGACGATTTACGAATGCATCAGCCCAAATTGCTTGTGGTCGTCCTCGAGGCCGATCTATTCCACTCCATGATTCCATTCAGTGTTCGCAATCGTTTCTTCTCTTTGATGAAGTATTTCACAAAGTGCAATCATTGGAAAGCCTCCCCTGGTAGACCAAGCCAGAATTTTCAGTGAATCGACTGAAACTTCTGTAGGTTGCATCTAGATAACACAATTTTCCAAGTATCTAAGGTTATATCACACGTCTTCGTAGCATAGCATAGTACAAAACGAGGATGGTTGAACGATTTCGTTCTAGCATAAGCCACGTTCACGTTTGTGCTACAGCTCGCTCTCCATATTGGAACATCGGCGATTCATTTACTGATCTTCACCTAACAACTAACATCCTTTATGGATTATTCACATTTAGCCCGGTTGCATTATATTCGATCCTCTCTTCTTCCTTCTTAACTCTTAGAGCGCTGTTTCCTGCTGTTATAGTGTCATATTTTGAGAATTTATCAGTAAATAGAGGATTGATAGTGAAATGTCTACCATAGGTCGTCCCACCATGTACCATATATTCGTATTCTTCAGGAACAACTCTAAAGAAAACTTTTAAAGTTTTGCAAAGAAGAAAAAAGCTAGGACCACGAAACAACAAAGTGAAGAATCAGTGCATGTGGAAAGCCCCACGCAAGCACACAAACACAGATGAATCACCGAACGGAAAGAGCATATGCTATGAATTTTTAGGATGACTACTCAGTCAGTTGAACAACAACCTAAGCAATAAATTAACTAGTCTATTTTCACACAGGCTAACAGTCTTATCCAGAATTCTGTATTCATTTGATCCAACAGCTCTTTATATTTTGCACTGCGGAAAACACGGGCTTACGATAAAAGCCATGCGGGTTCCCAGGAAGTTATCCAAAAGTCGGTTGACGCCATGGAGGTGAAGTATGACACCGCAGCACAGATTTCACGAAAAAAAAGAAAAAGATTTACGATTATCTGCAGGTTGTAGGCAAAGCAAACGTTTGATCGTCAAAGAAAAAGCCCATGATGATCCGTAGATGACGACGGTAATCTTAGGGACAGTCACCTACAAAATGATGAAGGTGCTCACAAACGGCGAAAGTTAGATGAAACTTCGTTTTCAAATGTGGCTCTCATGACCACGAGATCAACCACAGTTATGGATGAGGATTACAAGAAGAAAGAAGGATGTAGCATCTTAGTAAAACGAAGAAGCACGAGAAAATGAAACGGTGAAAGAATTTCACACAAAAATCTACTAAAGCACTAAATGGAACGACAACACCAGAAGTAATCAATAGGTACTAGGACTACTAAATACCTCTAAAAATGATGGGATGGAACACTGTGTTAACAAAACAGTGAAGAAAGAGGTTGAGAGGAAAGAAATAACTGGAACTGATGCTGCAAACTTAGTGAAGGGTTAAGAAGGTGACAATGAGGAAGTATGAGCAGAAAGGATGGGGACACAACGAGAAGTTAGCGATTGATGGAAAAAAAGATGACAGATGAAGAAAATATGAGAGAGGAAGGATACAAGAGGAAAATGAGGGAAAGCACCAGGAATGGAGAGGGCAAAGAAAAGGTTAGAGATGGATGTGGTAAACACGAAGTAAAAAGTATTCAAAAGGTAGCCACATAGTGGACCACTCGAGTTTTAATGAGCATGTCGTTCTAATAAATGAAGACGAAAGTAATTACCATGTAACTAATTTACTGTGAATCTCCCATACTAGTTGCCGAAACCTCGAAGACCGTTTGTTGGGCAGCCGGCCAACATAGTGCGAACAGCAATGTCTCTACTTTCCGCTCTGCATCAAATCTAAATGATGACTTCTGGCATGAGGTCTACCATTTTAAATGATTTAGACGTGGGAATAGGTACAAGTATCTTGCCAGGATTATACAGTAGCATATATTTTATCCCTCGGTAAGCATTCGAATGGAGAGTCGAACTCTTCAGTTTGGTGATACGCTTGGGGAATGGATCCTCTAAATGAAATGAATATATAGTTCGTATGACTAGGAGATCGATCTCTTTCAGATGTCCTGAAAACATGACTATGTGCATTACTGACGAGTTGTATTGTGAAAGAATGGCTGATTTTCAATAGTTGACGAAGTTCACAGTCGCAGCAGTTCATCTTACTATCATAAAAATCTGTCATAGTTGTGAAATCGAGAAAAAAGCAGTAGATTAGAGCACTGTTCACTTCTACATTGTCGTTAGCAAGTTACTTGTAAACTCCATATCCCACTTACTTAATAAATGTTCAGATAAGGGTTAAGTTCTTCTTTTAAGGTCCTTATTATCTGGATCTCTCAATTTTAACATGATGATTTTGCTGTGGAACGAATATCTTTCTGCTAATATGAATCAGCGGGCCTCTAAAGTCGACTTCTTTCCTATTCCAAAGAATGATAAGAATTTGTGATTTGTTGATTATCAACGCGGATGCACTACTGGTACAATGTTAGGAAGTAGGGCGAATGTTAATTCAAATCGAAAAGTCTAAATTTAACGATGCTTGTCTGAGGGGATCTGTACAGAAAGACATAACATTTACTACCAGATTAGTAAATTCTCTAAATGAGTTTTCTAATCAGCAAACGCCCCTAGAATTCAATGCAAACATTTTGTGGGTTTTCTAAGCAATGGTTTGTTCCACGTTGCTTTCTTCTCTCAGGACATTAACCATTCCGAAAAGAGAAAGAAGAAAGGGAAAATAAACCACTGTTCAGCGTCCTCCAGCGTTCGTTAAGTGAGGAAACCTCTGCGTACGATTCGGACGTCCTTTGATCATCTTGTATAGTAACTGCTGAGAGATACTGAATTAAATGGCTCGTTCACGACCTGTTTTTCATTCGTTTCTTAAAGGAGCGAAATCTAATGTCTGTCAATCGAAGTAACTTTAGGCACTTGTTATCATATCCAAAAGAACGACAAAGAAATGGAACTCTAATGCTCTTAAATTTTCTATTTAGAATGAGAATAACCAAAGTTACTATGCATTCTATCAATAGAATATGCCCATCGAATCACGAAAACAAATTTCACTAAACGACATTGCAAATAACGACATGCGAAGGCCATTAATTTGGCGCATTCACACACTGTTCATACAGTTTTTGTGACTTTGTGACGTTTTTAACATGATTACACTCAGACAAAGGAATATTGTAAGCGTTTGGACGAATACTTCAAATATCTTTAAGTGTTATGTTCAAATGCCTTAACAATCCATATACAAAAGAACTATTAGAAATTCCTGTTGCAAAAGGATCCAATTTTTGCAGTATCATGGGCTCCCTGATGATATACAGATTTACAAAAAGTCGTACATTATGAAACAGCATAAAAATAAAGGATGAAGCTGTTGGCGTTCAGCTCCCTGACGGATGCGCCATGCATTCGACTTCAGTGAGCATCCTTGGAGGTGACTAAATGCAAATCTGACCTTTGCAGTGATTCGAGGTGGCCTACCGATGTACCGGGCCAGTGCTGCTGTCTTCCTAGACAAGTCCGGAACCAATACACCGACTCCGGGATGGAGAGCTTGGTGGGCCAGCGGCTTGGAAACCGATCGCGTATGTATTGCAAGGTGTCTCCGACCACTGCGTTACACGGGCCCATATGAAATTGCGTAGTTACGTATTAAATAACTAGTTAAGGAGTTGGATCATCGGCTCTCATGAAGACGAAGACGTGAAAACGTAAGGCGAATAATCCTTATTATCAACT